TTTACCATAACGCATTCGAGTGTCTCGACGGTTTTATACATCCTATTCACTAGAGGTATGGCGTGACACCTGAATCATCCCTGAGGGCATGTAATCTTGTAGCAGATATCACAAACCTTGTATTTTCTGCTACTGCAAATGGCTTAAGAAGATGATAATGCAGTGAGCCTTTAGATCACAACTAAGGCGAAGAAATAGAAATTTATCAGATACGATACGCGAGAATTTTGTACCTGGATGAGACCAGGTTTTGGCTAAACTTCCCAGCGTTCGTCAACCAAGTGATGTATAGCAAATCTGATTAGAACTATGCTGGGTTCAGTGACGCTTTGTGCAGCCATCTGATGGCCGGCTTCTGTCAGGTTACTAAGGAAATCTCTTCGAAAAGGCTGCGACAATCGTCCTAAGGAATTTTTACAAGTACTTGATTACCCCAGTAATCACGGCAATGATAACCCGATATCATCTAATCATGATGCCGAAGAACAATTATAATCAAACATCTAAGGTAGATGACCAAGTACCAGCTACTCATTGCATTTCCAGACGCACAAACTACTGTCAGTACTTGAACAGTGAACACAAGCAAGTTGCCGTCATCGGAACCTCGAACAATCTAAACGCATCGATCGCATGCCTCCAAGAAACGTGAATAATGAAAGATAAAATGACAAAATTGGGCCATTTTGGTGGCCAGGTATCTTATATTTCATTCAAATCGAAGGCCGAAAAAAGTATGATTGCGAAGTCGCAGTGCGTTCAGACTACGAGGAAGTTGTAGAAGAATTAAGCCTAAGATAATCTTAGATAAACATCGAAATCGTTCAAAACCATTAATTATAACCTCCTATGAATAACACACGAACAAACAAGGAACGCTTTCTACGACAAGCTCCAAAAATTACTTGATGTCATACCTTCGCTTGACCTTATCATTCCTACGAACGGATACCAAAGTACTATTTGAAATAATTCTCGCACTGGGGAAATGGTTCCTGCCGGCAAAAACGACTACAAAAATGGACCGATGCTCCTCAACCTCGCTGAAAGATTCAATCTGACAATTTCGACGAACCTCAAGCGAAATCGACGCTTACACCTTACTGCGAAAGCTACGTATCAGGTACTGGCAATAGGGAAACAATTTCAAAACAATCGTATTTTCTGTGGCATCTACTTATCTGACCACTGTGGTAAATTTCTTTCAGAAAAATGCACTTTTATGATATCTTCCAGTGTCAGAGAAGAAAGTAACTTAGATAGACTGGTCTCATTCCTTCTTTAATTGCAGCTTTTGTGTACGGAAGAATACGATGCCTGTAACTTCAAATTTTTGCATTACACCGTCTTGTTTATTTACATTTGTAAAAAAGTACGTAAAAAATAATCTGAAAACTTTGTCTTCTTGTAAATACCAAGGAAAATGAAACTTTGCAACCGTTGGAATACTGTGAATGAAGTTTTATTGTATGCGGTCATTTTTGATGCACCTCTTTTAAATAAGTTAATGGTGGGACGCTGGTCTCCATTTTCACGCCGTCAGTCAGAAAGGCGCTATTTTTTAAGGCAGTGTAGATAGCAAGTACGAATCAAGCAAAGTGCGCAGTCTCCTGTTTCCTCCCACAGAATGGTACTCACCAACTTCGGAAGGAAGAGAGGCTAGTGACCGTAACCGAGACTCGAACAGAGCTAGTTTCTCTCGGTTCTGAGTCTGACGCTCTACCCACTGAGTAGAACATGTAGTAAATTTCTTGTTCAAGGGAATAAATGTTCAATAAGGCAGACTACTGCCTACCGGAATCGAATACGGCTCACCCATGTTCGAAATCAACCTCTTAATCACTTTGTCACCATGACACGTAAATACAAGCCCTTAAGTCTACCCATCTGAACATGGCCAAGTTACGTGCACCTTTGGCATTTACTTGCTAGAAAAATATTCTCGCTTTCAACGATCAAAAGTCATGATCATGCTAAAATCTGCATAAAATATCTCAGCGATTACGCACTTAACGAATCATTCTCATATCTGTACTTGCTCTATAACTTCAGCATTAAACCTGAGAGGTAGTTGAGTAATCCATGTCAAAACCAGTCGCGACAATTCATCATTGTAACATCACAACGGCGTAGATTATATACATCACTTCATCGATGTGACGTGCCAGAAGCAATCACACTTCAGGTCCTTCTCCGCCAGGGATTAGCATCGTTATATGGTTACCGTTCAAAAGTATCTGGTCAAGCTTCGTGATCTGCTTGCCCTCAGCCGTCGTTTCGTACTCGACTACGTCCTCCAGCACAATGTTTACGTAGTCGTCGAAGCCGAGCAGTGTTCCAACGATCTCTTTGTCGCCCTTCATGATTATCCAGATCTTCGAGCCGATGCACTTGTCGACCAACTCCAGTGGAAGGAGCGAAGACGGGTTGAACGCGGTAGAAGGAGCAGACATGACACTGAAAGCATGTAACCAAGTAAGCAATGACTTACAAAAGCTACCACATGTAAAACGAAATATTAAAAGCTAATCGTAAATCCTGCAACAATGGATGCTTCCCAAACATCATGCTGTTGACAGCCCTTCTGAGTTCCTCCCGTAAAGAAGAGAGTGAAACAAGGAGGGACCATTTGAACAAAACTGTTCACCGCCTGTTTGGAAATGATGCTTCGGAGGACGAATTGGCAGTACAAAACTAACATCAATGGTCAGCTGCTGAGGCCCCTAATGTTCGATATCACGTGGTGCTATTTAACGAAAACGTCAGTCAGCTACAATACATGCTTCAAAAGATCGAATGAAACATCGCAGAAGCCAGACTGCGAATCAATCGGTCAAACACAAAATACAACAATCGCTTGCCCTGCCGAAATCCTCCAAGGACTATTAAACGGCCAAAATATCGAAGTTGATAAATATATTTACGTCATTCAATAGATCAATATAATGCAAAAACAGTTAACAGATTTTACGGAGAAAGAGGGTCAGGGTTGTTGCGCATTCTATTCCACTATTCCACTGAGGACAGCTTCCTCGACAACAACAAGAAAAAATTTGAACCCACTTCCAGCTCTACCATCCAGCTGGCAATGTTACATGGCTCTGGGACGTGGTCACTCACTGAAGCCGAAAAATGGCAACCATCTGTCACCGAAAGAGTCACGGAAATAAGAACATTGGAAATTTCACATCACGACAAAATCCCTTACACGGAAATAGGACGGCAGACGGAATGAAGGACGTCGTCGCTTAAAGCAGACAGGAGAAACTGCGATGGGCTGGGTGGTTCAGCCCAGTAACGGGAGATGGTCAAAGACGATCTTTGACTGGACCCTCGCGGGCGGACAAGGCTGCTTGATTACTACCCACCATGGAGGGTAGATCATATAAGGAGCTGATATTATTCTAATAAGTATAGAGCTTCATTAGTAGCGGATGTGCTTAACAGTTCAAACTATGCAAATATCTCACTGCAAGGGCTAAATAATTGTAAACATCAACGTAATTAACTGGCTTGCTGCTTCTCGCAACAAATAACTTCGTAAAGTGCAGGGAAAGCGATCCTCGCATCTATAACTTACGGCCAATCGAATAACCGGAAACGAAACTAAGGTACTAACGAACTTAGCGACGAAAACCTTATATCTCCTAGCAGCTTAAAACTGACTGTTCATTCAAGTTTTAGCTCAGAGTTTACACCCCTGTTGAATCATTCACTTTTCTTCCTTCTAAGGCGAAATAAACAAGTATTAGCTGTGCGAGAAGGAACAACCTTGTGGTGTTTAATTTGATGTTGGGATGAAAATATTGTTGTAAATTGCAAAGACAGTATGTTCGTCATATGAAAGTAGTTTTGCAGAAATTACAACACGAGTAGCAGGTTCGCAACGTAACCGCTTTCGTTAATGACCAACTGCTAATCTGAAGTCTGGCCCAAACGACGCTGTCAAATCACTATAATGCCGTTAAGCGGCCATAGTGAAAAGTTACTGCTTTGGATTGAACAGCGAAACTGTCCATACCATTATGGACGGATTACCACTCTGGATGGCAACATATACGTGAACGGAAAAACGGCATGCCGTCAGTATATATCACCAAAGAAAGCAGATGAAATCATTTCATTGTGCCCTCTATCCTTTGGACAGAATGAAGCTAATAACAAGAAGGAAGTCCTGACCAATGCTCTGTGGATCATATCAAAAGATGAAATCACCTATGCGTGAGTGTGGTGCTCAAAACTTGGAAAGTTAAGCGTCAGGACGTAAATTCCCGACATTATCTATCTATTCTGACATTCCTGACGGACTGCTATTATGAAAGCAATAACATTCTTGCATTGGCATCTGATCAAACAATACACAATTAAAAAAATAAAACGGTTTGGTGGTCATGAGATTTGTGACAGTACCTGCGCTTATTGGCTGTCGTTCACACGTAAGCAAAAATTAAGCAAATCATGAAGTATAAGACCGTCCGGATGCAATGTAAATGCAAGGCTAGAACTTGAAAACAGATTTGCCTTGGGTCAACATGACTGGCCGAGATGACGTCTTGACATACCTTCCACTGAGAGAGGCAATCCTTATAAAGTCGACAATGTTCGTTAAGGGATCAGGGTAAAAATGTTACGTGATTTCTCAACAAGCGCAAACTCCTCAAACCAGCGAAGGTAGTAGGTAATACAAAAAGGACCATTCACAAACGTAATGAAATGAGGCCATGGGCCTTGAGAAATATTACACACGCAATACCTAAGAGGATGAACTTGAATGTTAAAAACAATACCCAACGGACACAAATGGACTACGGACCATTTTAGCATTAGCTGTAAAATATGATTAATGCGTGATAACAACCAGTCAGAACGACATAATGCAATATCATAGTATTTCATAAAATGTCGTACGACAGTACGTTCGAACCTTAAAGAAACGACAAGGAGAAAAAATAAGAAAAATTCATTTTCAAACAAAAACTATAATCTATAAAGCGCTCGTATCAGTATAAGAAATAAAGCAGGAACAATCGAGGTATGTAGACCGTGACGTTGAATTACAAGTACAACTATGGTACAGAAGGGCAAACTGCGGCAGGTTTGCTACGATGAGTTATGAACGCGGCGGTGATGGCTTTAATACAGCAGTCGAACAAATGAATAAACAAATAAATTGAAATCACAGCCAAAATCGCTAGATATGCAGCGGCAATGGAGGGACAAAGAGATTGAGCTCTCTTCGCTCGGTCCGTAGGTCACCACATGTTGTTGAGCATTAGATGACGCTGGCCGGCAAGTTTTCGAATACATCGTTGCAGTTCTTCGCATAGTACTCTTCGGCGGGCGACGAAAATCGCCGCTGCCCGAGTCTGGTCGTCGCAGGGTCGATGACGTTTGGAGTACCACCTTCCTTCTGCGTTCGTCTGGTCGTCGGGGTCTGAATTATGTCAAACATGCAACCGTTTTGCAGCAGGATATCGGCGCATTCCTTTGATTTCGAATTTGTGGCGTACCACAGCGCTGATCGACCTTCATGATCCACCGCTTTCGGATCAGCGTTCATCTAAAAGAAACAAGACGGATATTAATTAAAACAAAATGCCATATATTGTAATACAACAGGCACTGCACCAAATTTAGTCAGTTAATTACTATTCTTCAGGGTTCGTTTCAGAACATGCCGCAAACCAGCGGTTCAGACCCGATTGATCAAATTGATAACAGCCAAATTAATATTTGACTACGAAAATGACTGCAAAACATTCAGGCTTGAAACTTCATATATCCACG